AAGTCTCTAAATAGCTCAATAGGTGTTTTATGAGGCACGTTTACCAACACATTTGCCCGACTGACGAGTAAGAAAAAAAAAAAACACTGAAACAGCTCACAATATTACATATATAATTCATTAACTCATATCCAGGTACCTGAATCAGGACTGATATCATCCCTTCCTTTCAAAAACCTTTTTCCAGTGAAACGGGTTGTATTTTCCACAGATAAAGATGCAGGTTCAGTTCCAAACTGATCTATAAAAATAAAGAGAGACTTTCTGCAGAGTTCCTACGATTTTTAGTTGAGTAAGGTTTCAAGGAAGTTTAGTAACCAGGTTTTTACATTAAAATCGTGTTAGTGTCACTGGCAACTGGCACCTTTTCCAGTGTTAACTTGTCGTTCTTCCCACGTACCACCCCAGGGTGGAACCATCGACCCTGGTATATTCAGAATGCAACGTACTTCTGCTGGTCGAGTGCTTCAAAGCCTCCCTTATGCGGGACATAGACACGAANAATTAATACCAAATTGGTCAGTGTAAAATGATGACTGCAGACTGCACACTGGGGGTAAAATGTAGACTGAGGGTAAAATGCAGAATGCAGACGGTGGATTTCTTAACTGAATCGGGTTACCGTTTCAATCACTGAGAGTTAACAGCAAACAGGGTAACCAAAGCGTTATTTAGGCTAACCTAAGTGATGTTCAGGCTAACCAGACTGATATTCAGGCTAACCAGACTGATATTCAATCTAACCAGAGTAATATTCAGTCTAACCAGAGTGAAATTCAGGCTAACTGGAGTGCAGACTTTCACTGCAATTAGCCTGAATAACTCTGTTTACGGTCAAAAGTCAATAATGGAAATAACACGATATATACTTAAGGCATCTGTAGTCTGCAGTCTGCATTACATTTTTACTCTCAGTCTGCATTTTACCCACTATTTTATACTGACCGCATACCAAATGAATTTTGAACAGTAAGGTTGTCCATGGGAAAGAAGTTTTTCAGTTCCACTATTTCTCAATGGCACGGTACTGGAAACAATCGTTATCAAGAAACCTTAGGGCTTGTCTTAAAACTTACCTCCTGCTGGATCTTTCCCAAAGTACATTTTGCATGCTTTGTACTCCTCCTCTGAGATTGTGGTTTTAAGCTTCAACTCTGCTAGGCTCAGTTCTGTCAAGATCTCTTCTGTAACAAAACATCTTTGAACCACTTCACCANAATTAATACCAAATTGGTCAGTGTAAAATGATGACTGCAGACTGCACACTGGGGGTAAAATGTAGACTGAGGGTAAAATGCAGAATGCAGACGGTGGATTTCTTAACTGAATCGGGTTACCGTTTCAATCACTGAGAGTTAACAGCAAACAGGGTAACCAAAGCGTTATTTAGGCTAACCTAAGTGATGTTCAGGCTAACCAGACTGATATTCAGGCTAACCAGACTGATATTCAATCTAACCAGAGTAATATTCAGTCTAACAAGAGTGAAATTCAGGCTAACTGGAGTGCAGACTTTCACTGCAATTAGCCTGAATAATTCTGTTTACGGTCAAAAGTCTATAATGGAAATAACACGATATATACTTAAGGCATCTGTAGTCTGCAGTCTGCATTAAATTTTTACCCTCAGTCTGCATTTTACCCACTATTTTATACTGACCGCATACCAAATGAATTTTGAACGGTAAGGTTGTCCATGGGAAAAAAGTTTTTCAGTTCCACTATTTCTCAATGGCACGGTACCGGAAACAATCGTTACCAAGAAACCTTAGGGCTTGTCTTAAAACTTACCTCCTGCTGGATCTTTCCCAAAGTACAATTTGCATGCTTTGTACTCCTCCTCTGAGATTGTGGTTTTAAGCTTCAACTCTGCTAGGCTCAGTTCTGTCAAGATCTCTTCTGTAACAAAACTTCTTTGAACCACTTCACCAAGATGACCAGATGAATAATCTTCCCACAATCTCTCCAGGATCTGAAGTGAATTGCACTTCACAGTTATCAGCAAACTTCCAGTCCTAACACCTGTAATATAGAGTCGCATTTCTTTCAAGTATGCCGCAAATTCATCGTGGTCAGCCTTACACCTTGGTGGTGTAGTCTGCAGATAGTTTTTAGCAATTAAAACCAAGACTTCTTCTGTTGTACAAATGCGATTGGGAGCTTGGAGAGCTTCAGCCCCTGCACCTGAAGGCTGGGTATGTCCTGTTGACACAGGCACTGCAGATGCCACCTGGTGCTCACCATCTTGAGATCCTTCTGATTCTATTGCTGAAACAGTTCTTCCCTGTGTGTTGTGTTCTGCAGGTTTTGTGGTATCCACATCAACCCTTATGTTGATTGAAGCTGTTGATTTGGAGCCATATTCAAAGTCCATAGTCAGTTTAAAACTTTTATCAATCTCATCCCCATGCAGAGTCCACTTGTTGTTTGGTCAGCACCAGAAATAGAGACTCTGGCCAAGCCTAATGTGAAGGTCTGTCCTGTCCTAGCATTTCAGCTGAAAGCTGATTGGCTGAGAATCAATCATAAGCAGTCTCTGTCTGCACATGCCAAAGCCCACAGACCTGGTCAGAGTCCATGTTCCTTTGCTGACCAAAGATAAGCAAGCCCTGGGGACAGGGCTGAACCTTTATTGCTTTGTTCAAATATAATTTTTTCAAGTCTTAAATTCAGCTTCTACAGAACTGCCAAGGAAAGAACTAAGTGGCCACTAATTTCACACACCTGAAATATAATTGATCTCAAAATATTTGCTTGACATTTTATTCATCTTTTTTATTTGCACCTTTCATCTTCCTTTTGTTGTGCTTTTTTATTAATTTTCGTCATGCAGTCAAGAAATTACTTGATTTTTTTGTTTTCAAATTGGTTTTTACATGTGTCTTTTACTTTTATTTTCTGTTGTTTTCTCAAATGTTAGTCTTTACAGTACAAGAATGGAAATTCTGTAGGTTGTATTTATTTTTGTTTAGTCTTGTAAAGTCAATAATTAACTCATTTATTAAATTTTCTCAGCTTTTGTTGAGCATTTTGTCGCGCAGCAAGAAATATTTTAATTTCCTGTTTTCTTATCAGTTTTACACATTCATTCGAGTTCTTTTTGTTGCTAGTTTTTAATATTTTGGCCCTAATCATTTATTCAACTTGAAATAAATGATATCTTGCAACATGATCTTTTGTAGACCTGTGGTTACTGCATAACTATATGGTTTATTTTTGTGCTTATGCTCACTCTAAACTATTTAAAAGAACAAAACAACAGGAAACTATGGCTAGGTCGCATGCAATTTTATGTAGGCGTCAATGGATTAAACTTCACGAAAAAAATACTGCCTGTTAGTGTGGACATTTTATATATTACCTGCAGTGCTGGTTACTTGTGATCCATCAGTTGAAGTGGCATTATTAGCAGGAGGCTGCTGCTCAGAAACATGGTACTCATTGCCATCAGGAACAGATTCAGATGTTTCTACAAAAAGGTGGATTGTATTCTTCACTCTTAATTAAACACAATGTTAACAATATTTTGTATATCAACACCAAGGAAAATAAACATGTGAGAAAAGAAACAAACTGTTTAATTTGCATGAGACAATCTGGTTTTGTTGTGAATGACAACAAACTAACTCACCATGTGCCCCACAACCAATTTGCCTTGATATCGCTTAAAGTGCTACCATGACAAAATTCGAATCTTTCCTATCTCAGCCATTTTAAAACATAAACAAGTACTCTGTACAAAAAGAAAAAGACTGTTTACTATTTTCAAATATCTCTTCTTGTTCCCGAGATATTCAAGTATTTTTAAATGAGCAAATTGGCCAAATGTTGACATCATAAACTCAACCAAATTTCAATCAAATATGATGAAGAAAATTATCTCAGCAATAATAATGTGTCAGAAATGTTTGATACTTTGCAGTAAGATTCTACTAGATGTGCTCTACAATTTGAGCTGAACAGTTTTGTTACCACGGCAACATACTGGGTTCCAGGACCAAGTAAAGTGGCCTTGGATTTCTGTAGTTGTATTTTTATAAGAGAGAGCTAGAACTCAAAAAGTTGAATTGTGCACTTCTCTCAGAAATTGGTTACTCAATAATTAAATTACACCAGAATCCAAATTTTTCCAACCTCCACGGGAAACAAGAATTGGTTTGAAAAATCAGGTAGTTCCAGAAATCAAGGGTTAAAGAATATAAAGAATATAAAGAATTGGCAGTTAAGAAAAACTGAGTATTAGAAAAGTTGGGATTCCACTTAACATCTGTTTTTTTTTTCTCTAAAAAAACATTATTATGACATGGACAGATACAGGCACCTGGTATATCTGAATTTTTTCAACAAATGGAGGAAAACATAGAATCTTTTTGAACCTCCTTATCATCCACTTGGTTTGAAATGTTTGTGATCTTTTGTTATTGAATCCACATTTTGTTGTTAATAATGTTCCAAAACCACCCTAGAAACAATAGCATGTGTGATGAAAACAGTTCATCAAGTACTCTAGGTGAGTCTGGAGTCACATGGCAAAAGAGAAATCAAAATGGCATCTTAAAATACG